CAAATGTCACAAATATTTAAAACACGTTCTTTTTCATCCCGTAATGACTTGTCGCGTTAAGTCGTGTTGAATGAACGTTGGCGTCATTATTAAGAAAATGGAATGTCCGACCTGCATTGTTGAAACCTTTTTTTCTGTTTACCTCTGGGTGCTCATCAATGGTAATTTCTAGCGTGAACTACCTACTCGTGCCACAGATGAAGGATTGATGTATGCGAATTTCGAGTTCCAAGACATTCGTGTCAATTCCATTAACTTTAGTGCACGAACTTTAATCTCAGAAAACGTTATGATATTTCTCAAGAGTTCGTATTTGATGGTGCTTGGCATGGAGCACATAGAGCTCATGAATTGGTGTTCATTTGTCGCCAGGACGCCACAAATTTCTTCAGAATTAGGGTGTATGCATAGTTTTCTTTGCATTTCGTCAGTTGTCTATGCAAAATCTGTTGTTATAATGAATGGTATGATTAATTTTTAACATTTTTTACTGCACTAAAAACGTTCCTACTATGCTTTGATGTTAATAAATGCAATCTGGGATAGAATGGAGGTGGAATTAGCAGAACCTCTATGAATAGTGACTGCAATGGTGGCAGAGGTGGTCATCCTAACTTCAATGCAGAATGGGAATAATCTTTGCTACTTTGAATTTGTTGTATCATTTCTGCCTACTTGACTGCTCGGCTGCCTGAGATATAATTCCCTACCCTGTTCCTCTCTTTAGGCGTGAAGGAGCACTTGGACGCCGTTGAAGCTGATATTTTTCACGAATTCGAGGAGGTGAGTCTACTTTTCCGTCCCCTTCCGTCTCCCTTGAATTTAATAAAACCTAGGTAGGGCTCGCATGCACTCGCGTAGGCGGAATTATTCATGCCGGATGATCATTATTCGCCTAACGGCTTCCTCTCACGCATCAAAAAACGCACATTTGGGTGGTGTTAAAGATATTCGACTTATTTTTAAAGTGGTTCGATGGGGAAAGTAGCTTTTTATCGCAGAATTATTTTCGAAGCATTCTCCTCTAATGCATAAAGTATCGCCCTACTCATGCCCTTCATCAGTAGCGTGTTTCATGGCTCACTCTGAAGGTCATTTAAAATGTTTGTGCAGCTCAGGCATACTGTATATTAGTCTAAATACTTATTCTACAGCTATTTTATCAAATACGATTTGGTAATTGCTTCATTCATTTGGGACTGAGTACTACGAATGTCGCATTGTTATGGACTCACTAGCTGTTTGCACTTGCTCAATAACGGTTTCATTTTTGTCCGCCATGTTTTCCTATTTGCACGCATGTATTTTAAAGATGGGACGTCCGCATCCATGATACGCAAATGCTTTGCAATAGACACACAGGGAAAAATTTTTTCAGAAGTCTTTTAAATTCTAGGTTGCCTCCAAAGTAGGTCTAGAGCCAGGGAAGTCCATAAAATTGGAATCTGCGGAAGGAGTCGGATATTTTCTCCGAGTAACGCTTAAGGTTTGTATACCATTTTTTACACGTTGGAACAATTTGGAGTCATGAACTTGATTAACTAGCCGACATTTTATTCACTGTCTTCTGGTAGATGGAGAAGCAGATTCGCGGAATCGATTGGTTAAAGAAGATTGACATACAGAAGGCTGGAGTGCGTTGCCGATCGACAGAAATGAGTCTTCTTAATGATCGTCTTATTGCTTTGAAAGAGGAGTACGCGAACACTCAAATGGCCATCGTCAAAGAAATTCTCACTGTCGCGGGTGAGTTCCTGGGAGATTGGTGGTATGGACGCATGT